TAAACAATATTAATAAATGGAATCATCTTCATCAATTGAATTAAATAACAATAATTGGATTAAATAATAAACGGAATCATCTTCATCAATTGAATTGAATAATAATAATTGGATGGCGAACTAGTACATACTAAACAATATTAATAAATGGAATCATCTTCATCAATTGAATTAAATAACAATAATTGGATTAAATAATAAACGGAATCATCTTCATCAATTGAATTGAATAATAATAATTGGATGGCGAACTAGTACATACATATGAATTGTATCATAACTTCTGTGAGAATATATTAATTATAAGGACAAGCATAAAAGAGGGTGTGCACCTCTTGAAAGTGGAAACCACTCTATGCAATGAAAGGGTGTGATTATCTTGAGAATAATTCAGGAAGATAACGAGAATAATCCAGGGGATTACTAATATATCTTTATTTATTTCTATTAGAAGTTAAGCAATCGTAATCTACCAATAAAAGGACAAGGACCAAAAATATTAATCATATTTCACATCCCTTTTGTTCTTAGCTTTCTCAAGAACGATATATATATATAATGCACCCACTTGTGGAAACAGTCCTATAATCTAGGGCCCACAGAAAGAACGAACAATGAATGTGATTTTACCTACGTCATGAAGACCTCATCCCAATTTTGCTCTTTATATTTTAAAAACAATGGCAACTATTGTCCAAGTCAATAATCATAAGGTAATAAATTATGTAATTGTATATTGCTTTTTGCGGCATTATATATTTCTTTAAAGAGAAAGATGGCTACTTAATTCATATCATTTCATAAAAATATGGAAGAGTCCGAATTAGTAAAGCAAACCAATTAATGCGAAGCCTAACAAGGAAGATCTTAAGAGGTGAAGAATCTAACATATTTCATCTATAAAACTATGAACAAAAATGTTGGTAATTTTGTTTGCCCCAGCAATGATTAAATTCCAACCAGAGACTTGCTTCATTGAAATCCATGGAAGATGGTATACAATCAAATTGTGTTAATCATAAAAGCAAAGTATAACAAAAAATGCCCACATAGATCCTGTACCCAAATTATATACCATCAAGAAACTTCCCATAAGATCAACAATGAAAACTTACTGAATCGTAAGAGTAAACCAACAGGCTGATCTCTAACTAAATTGAAGAAAAAACATCGGAACATGCAATTTCATGAGATCAGACTCATTGAAACTTACTTGAATTCGTTTTGCTGGTTGCTTCTGCTGTTCCAGTTCTTTTGCTGTGGAAAATAATGAAGAGAAGAAGGAATTGGGGTTTGCTTTTGGCCCCTAAATGGAGAAAACAAATGTAGTAATGGACGGCTGTGCTGACGTGCAAATTGGGGCCCACTTCTCCCATTAGTACCTGCAATCTGACGTGTCATGAGCTTGTATGTTGTGAAGTGGGCTCCACACCTCTTGTTGCTCACGTGTACTCTTGAGCACACATGTGGAGGTGAGTCAGATCCTTGTAATAAGAGTTGAATTTTTGTGTTATGCACATAAATATTTAATAATGGAAATGATTAAAGGAGGATCTTAAGCCCTTAAAGAGGACCTTTGGTGGCTTCTCATTTATTAATTATTATCACTGCTCTATTCTAATTGTCAATTATTTAGTGGATGACGAGAAATTGAAAATGAATATGAATCACATGATAAAGTATATGTTACAATTGGAATGAATTAAAACTGTGTACTAAATAATAGCATCTAAATTGTTCAAGATTCTGTGAGATAAAAAAACATGATACAATTAGGGGGTGTTTAGTTGCACAACTTTATAGAAAAGTTTTTTCAAAACGTCTAACAATAGTAATTCTATAATTAAAAAATTTCTGTAGATTTCCGTAAACTGTGTTTGGTTCAAAAAATTTACAAAAATATTTTTTTAAAGTACAAAAAAGTACTAAAATTTACAAAAATCAATTTCCTCTCAAAATGGGCAAAAATCACCTAGAAATCTGACACCACATTGACAATATTATATAAAGTTAACACTTTTCTATAAATTTAGGGTCTGTTTGGTTCAATTTCTACAAATTATAGGAAATCTTGTTATTTTCTATAAAGTTATGGGACACTTTCTTCTTTTAAACCAAACAAGCAAAGTAAAAAAAAATGGTATTTTTTTGACTTCTCAAAACTTTTCCTATACTTTTTTAAGAAATACAAAGAAATCATATTTTGGGTGAAAAACATTTCCTATAATTTGTAGAAATTAAACCAAACACCCCATAAAAGATGAGAAATCAAAATAAAAACATGATTTATAGTTGGTGAGCACTGAACCTGGGTGGCTTGGATATAACTGGAATGAATTAAAACCATGTACAAAATAATAGTGTCTTAATTGTTCAATATTCTCTGCGATAAAAAACATGATATGATAAAAGATGAGAAACCCAGATAAAAACATGATTTGTAGTGGGTGAGAATCGAACCTTTGTTTGCTCAGACATAACGTTAAAAGTCTTTGTCGCTGCTCCAAAAATATAAAACTTAAAATTTGATGATGGCTAGAGGTTATAATTTTAAGATTCCCCTTAGAAATCACCTTAAAATAGGGTAATTATATGGAGAGTAAAATAGGGTAATTATATGGAGAGTAAAGCTTCTATAAA